AGGGGAATCCAAATATCAGCGTAGGGTAACTTTTTATTGGTTGCCCCTTAATTGTGGTCGCATTGCACTTATTGATCCTGCTATTGATTCCAAATGCCAAAATATTTTTTTTGACCATCAGCTCCTCTGGTGGCTCCTCCTTCTCCATCAGCGCCTGGGCGTGTCGAAAGTGGGCCCCCGGAAAGCTGTCCACCTGTAAATCAGGATAACCGTGGCCCGGGAAATAGGACAAATTTGAGTCCCCTACAATCAGCCACTTTTCCCCAACCTCCAAGTTCCACTCAGTTAAATTTGTCCCGTTGGACACAGGCCACCTGGGATGCCTCTGAAATGTGGTCCAGAACCAGGATCACCAGGGTCCAGACTCACCTTCATCATCCCAGCCGTACACAACGGATCTCTGCGTCATCATGGGGATCACACCCATATTCTCCTGCTCAGTATCTCAGACTGGGAGGAGGACACCTGTTCTCGGACGCTTTGAGGTGGTCTTTCTGTTAGTAATAAGAAGCAACGCAGTCCAGCAGCAGAGGACCGGTGGTCTTTACCCTCAGCTGGTCCTCAATCAGGACACCAAGACTGCAACTGCCTTTGATGGAGCAGAGGCAGATATTCAGTTCGGATGTGAGTCCTGAGGCTGGTTTTGCTGGAAAGATGAGGGTCCAGAAGATCCAAAAGGTCCAAAAGGTCCAGAAGGGTGCTCCGGAACGCACCAGAGCAGGCTGCCCCCCCACCCCCACGTTTGAAAGAACCCAAAAAGCACAAAACCCAGGATGATTTATACCATTTATTCAGAAAACAGAGCAGCTTGTGGTCCCAGCAGGACTCAGAGGTCTGGCCCGGTTCTGGTCCGGTTCTGCAGGCCCTCAGAAGTAGCCTGTGGGGTCTCTCTTGTGGCTCATCTGCAGGTGGGAGGTGATTCCCAGTACAGCATGGGCAGCATGGTCCCGACCCGCTGCCCCCCCCCACCGGCCCGGAGCTCCGGTCCGGACTCACGTAGAACAGCCTGAAGCACAGACCTGCAGGGAGAGGGAGAGCTGTGGGTCAGAACCGTGGAGGGCCAGAACCAGGCTGGAACCGAGCCAGAACTGGAAAAAAAAACCAGGCTAGAACAGAGTCAGAACCAGGCTAGAACCGAACCAGAACCAGGCTAGAACCGAGCCAGAACTGGGACAGAACCGAGCCAGAACTGGACCAGAACCTGGCGTCAGGGCCTGGACCCCCCCTCTCCTCTCAGGCAGGCTCCCGGGTTGACGGCGGCCTTCTGGGGGTGGCTGTAGACGAGCAGCTTCCCGTGCAGCGTGGCGTCAGACAGGGCGTAGATGTCCAGCCGTCGGCACACGATGTCCAGCCCTCTGTGGACCCGCCGACCTGAAAGCAGCGGGCCAAGGTCAGGTGAAGGTGAAGGTCAGGCCAAGGTCAGGCTCTGGGGAAGGTCAGATGAAGATGAATGTAATGCCAAGGTCAGAACAATGTCATGCCAAGGTAATTTCAAGGTTAGATCCAAAAAGTCAAGGTCACTCACAAGTCAAGGTCAGATAAAAAAAAAAAGTAATGTCAAGGTTGGACTCAGGTGAAGGTCAGACTTGTGCTGAGCTGTTGGACTCTTACCGGCTGGCTCCATAGTGTTCCTGCCCGTGGATGTCCGTCGTCCTCCTGTTGTCGGGGTTCCCTTCACACAGCTGCCCGAACTCCACAGCGCCGCTCAGCCCCAGAACAGCTGCAGACACACAGAAGGTTGGTACCGACCTACATACTCACCATCACTCCTCTGGAACAGCATCTCCCTCCCCTCATCCATTAGGGGGGGAGGTCCTCTCCACCTGGACAGCCTTCATCATCTGGAAAATGAAGACGGTAAGGAGGTCAGGACCTGACTCCTTTGCTAATTCAACTAAAAAGTGATGAACCCACCTCACAGGCTGCCCAGGTAGGAACCACACCTCCACCTCCATCGTGAGAAGAAGGGTGAGTTACCCTCGCTTTAAATTACTCCTTTAGATTTAATTTGCCCTATTCCTCCTTTTTATTTCCCCTAACCACTGTCAATGGACCAATAGGACACTTTTACAGTGACTCTGACCCAGCGATTCCTTTCCTCCTACCTCTTTTCTCTTCTTCCCTCACTGACATGTCCAGACCTGGAGGGGGGCTCTCTCTCCCTGGCCCCCGGACTGCATCCCCTGATTGGGGACATGGAGCCCGCTGATGGTGATGGAAGCAGAAACCCGGTCCCCGTCCCCTGACGAGTCCCAGCAGCCGCTGACGTGTACTTAAGCCTGGCATCCCGAAGACTGCCCCCCCCCCACAGGCAGAGAGAGCGGCTCCACAGAAGGATCTCCTCTGTAATTTCAATTTTATGTGAGGAAGCCATCCGCCTGAGGAAGATCCCGTAGAGGGATCGAAACGTTGCTGTGTTTTAGCTCGCTATTTCAATTTGTTTAATTAATTTATTTGTTTAAATAAAAAGTACTTCTTTTTTTATGTCGTGGGTTCTCTGAATTAATGTTTTAGCACGAGTACGGAAGACTTCTCTTTTTCACAAAAGTTTTAAACATCTTTTATCAAAACAATAACTATTAGCACAACAACCTACGTGATGGAGGATGAACGGGACCAGCACTGGACTGCAGTGCTGTACCGGAGAGGACAGAGGACTCCTTTCCCAGAGCGGCCGTTCAGCAACTCATCCCCCTGATGGACAACACCAGGGTCAAGGT